GATTGCTTTGAAGAGCTGGATTTCTTTCTTTGTATTAGAAGGTATTGCAGAGGGGATGTGATGTGTGCTCCAGGAAACTGCTAGCTTTTATAGCTACTAGAAAGGAAGAATATTGTTTCTAGTACTCTCCATAGCAAATAATGTATAATTCATGAATTTCATTAACATGCAAATATGATCCATGGCCTCCTATGTTTGTATCTCCTAATAATCTATTAATGCTTTTAAAAGTAAAGGGTAATAGAAACATTTTGTATGAGCAACATTTACTCATGGTTCTCTGTGTTTGTCTCTAATTGTATAGTATAAGCATGTATAGAATTAAAACAGAAACAATGGAAATTAATTAACCTATAATTCTCAAATAAATATTTATTGAACATAAGGTCACATGTCCAATAACTTGTGATCCACTAATGAAAGACTCCATTATCATTAGATGACAACATGTCTTAGAAAAATTGTGCTGGGGGATGGAAAGGTATTCATACCATAACTATTGCTTGAAATGACCCTTAGATTTGGAAATAGTATTGAGATTTCAGCTCCCCCATCAAACATGGATGGGACAAGAAAACAAAGAAAGTATAATGTGCATCCTGAAGACTTAGACTTTTCAGTTTTCTTTGTCACAGCAGTAGATAGAAAAGATTTTATACTGATGCAACCTTATTTAGTGTTTTAGGATCAGCTGCTCTCCACTTCCACATTCTGACTGAAACTTTAGAGTTGTCCATCTGAAAAAATGTGAAAACCCTCTTCTTGCTTTGTCAGAGCAGACATACAGCATTACCAGGCAGATAATTCCAGGTTTTGGCCAGGTTTTTTCCTACTCTGAGCACTTGGTGCTTGCAGGTTTGCATGCTTTGCCTCCAATTCTTTGCAGTGCCATTGTACCCCTGTGCCCGAGTGCTGCCACCGCTGCCCTGCCCTGCATTCCCAACTCAGCAGGTACCCCAGCCCCATCACTGAGCCCCTCACCTTTCCCTCTCCCTTTCTGAAATTCCACGGGAGGGATCTGCCAAGATAGTAATTTCACTTCCATATTTATCAGAAACCACATGAAGAGAAACAGTGGACACATCTGCTCTTTGTAAAAAAATACATTTAAAGTAATGATGCTGTAGGCAACAATAAACCATTTTAATCAACTAATCGAAAGAAACATCCTGTCAAGGACAGTTTTGATGATTTTCATATTATAACCCATAAGCACTGGACAGTATTTTAGACCAGGGTTGAGGACTTTTTCTCTGAGTCTGAAGAATTTGTCTGAGCACAAGGAGAAAAAAAATAATACATCAATCCCCACAGCATCTCTCTTTATTTTTAATAAAAAATTTTCTCATATCACAGGAATATGGGAGAAATGATGGACTTCTGAACATCTTTTAACAAATAAATATAGTCTTTTTAAAAACAAATGCATATGTGACGTAAGAGTCCTTTATTTTACCCTTCCTATGATGCTGTTTCTCAGAGAAATGAGAACAAATTATGTCAGGCTGGGAAACACAGGACTTTTACTCAGTGCCTGAGCTCACCCCTTTGTGGGTAACTGTGTGGCGTGCAGATCCTGACCATAAGCTTGTGCCAGTGTTTTAATATTCTACTGTGATGATCTTTTTCAGGCTCACTGTGACTTAAAAGTCTCTTATCCACACTCTTATATGTCACACCTCTACTACATCCTCCTCCAGTCTGAAGCATGGAAGAACACTTCTGTCTCAGAAATGAGAATTGCCTGAAAGCTACAACTGTGTGAACTGGGGAAGCTGGGTGGTGGGTCCAACAGGAGAGAGGTGGTTCAGAAAAGAGCTTATATGCTATTCATATTGACCTATCTGTGTAGAAAAAAAAATTTGTTTGTTTAGTAGAGGCTACCTGTCAGTATAAACAGTCACAATCACATTCACAATGAAGATATGCCAATTTTACACAACAAAAAAGCCTGTTGGTACATACATTTCACAGTTCGTTACAGATTTCCTTAATTAAATGAATGTAACAAGTTGATTAGACTTGAGAAGCTCGGAGAAAAGTCAGATCCATTTATATTGAAAAGTAGGACTAAGAAATAAATTATTCACAGTTGATTAGACTAAGACAAGCATTTCTCAAACATTTCTCAATACTTTAGAAAAAGCGACATATTGAACTCTATTTTACTGTGAGGCTCAAAATGGCAATTAACAGTCCTAAGCTGCATATAAAACTCAGTATGAACGACGTTTACAAGAACATTGTGTGTGAATCAAATTACTTTATCTTTGGTTTGAAGAACTTAGAAATAATTGCCAATAAGTATTCATGTATAGGACCAGTTTTTTGAAACAAGTTATTTTAATTACTACTAGTGTCAGGAGTACGTGTAGGCGATTTTATTAGACTTAATGTGTTTAGTGAAGCTCCCTGAACTGTAGCTGGTTTATTTCTGTAGAGGATGAAATATTTAATATATCTTTATTATTCTTACTTTCTAATATTGTATTTATCTTTACATCAAATCCCAACATTTGATGTTTTTGCCACTTTCATGGAGAATATCAGAATGAAGCACAGGGATGTATTACCCTCAAAAAAATCTGAACACCATATAGCTATGGGTTTCTGTATACCCCACTTGAAAAAATTAATACCCTCCAAGCTGCTCTCCATTTGTGCCCACACCTGGACCCCAGACACAGTCATGAGTGGGAGCCCTTCCATGAAGGAATGTGAATGGGAAAAAAGGGAGAGAGAGGAAAGGTCCCTCAGAGGTGAACATCTTGGTCCTGAAAAATTATAGAAATCCTTGTTGATTTTCATTCAGCAGCTCTTTCAGCAATGTTTTTCGCAAACATGGAGCTGGGGAACCAAGGCCACATCCTGCCTGGCACAACATGCAGTGAGGGGTCACAGGCACAACGCCACTGCCTCCCCCCTCACAGAGGAGCAGACTCAGCTGGCCCTACACCTGCAGGAGCTCTGAAGGAGTAAGGCAGTAAAGGAAAAACAATGTGGCACTTCATGATAATCCATATTTTTCATCACCCAATTCCAAAGGTATTATCTTGCACATGTCAATCCCATGCGAAGGTTTTACAGACGTCTGCAAACATTCATAATTCAAGAAACACAATAGTTATGCACTTTACTGATGTGATATAAATTAGCAGTTTCCCACTCTTCATTGCCACAATAAATCCACACAGAAAGAACTGTTGGTATATACAACAACATCAAAGAGCCTGGAATAGAAATAGTGAATTGCAGTTATAAAAATAAATTTCTAAAAAGAAGAGAGAAGCAAAAAGGGAGACGAATGTTCTAATCTTACCTTCATCATAATCTTATTAGCATTTCTCAGTGAGTAGTTCAAGTATCAGTCTATACTCTTATGAATCTGTCTCATAAATATGTCAAGTGCAAAGTATAGTTATTTTAATAGTCTGTGTTGGTGGGCCATCATGGATTTAATTAAGAGACAACTAGTGTATGAAATATGACACAAAAGCACCAAACTAAATGGAGAAATGTTTTACTGCAGATTTAAATCAGTGACACAGAAGTAATGATGATCTGGCCTTAGAATCCTACCTAGATTTAATTAATGCAGACCAGCACAGACCTGTTCTTATAGAGGAAAAAAAAAAGAAGCATTAAAAATAATGATTTAAGCTATACCATGTTATTTATAAAGACATTTGCATTATCTCCAACTTCATTATGTTATTCATAAATGTGTGTTGGTTTGTGGCTCTTAAATTAATTTTAAAAAGCTGGAAATGCAAGTCCAGTAAAAATTGCTAAAATAGTACTTTCAGCTATCCATTTTTCCAAAATGAAGCATTTATTAAGGTTTCTGCCTTTTTTTGAAGGTTCTCAGAATGCTCAAATGATTCTGCTATAAAATTGTCAATATCTTTCTAAGGTTGCAATGAAAACTGTTATTTTCCATCCAAATCTGCTCTTTCTCCATCTTTTCAAAGAATGAGGGCATAGTCAGCACTGTGAGTATGCAGGATTAGATTTTTCAAGCACTGCACAATTCTTCCTGCTATCATTTTGGTGCACTGTTTTGACTTGATAGGAGAGATTTGGCAAGATACACTGTTTTTAAGAAGCAATGCAAGAGCATATATTTTCGCGTTTAAATTCTTACTACTTATATGAGTTTAACACTATTTTAGAAAGAAAGAATCCAATAATTCCATGAAACTATTCCAATATCTTGAACTGATCTTGCAAAATCATCGACTGCCAACAACCTCAGTTGCACTGAAGTTGAAAGCAAGGCTTACTATTGATTTTTAAGGGCACAGAAGCAGACTCTGAGAATATACAGCTAAGTATATGCCTATCTGGCTCTAGGAATTGATGCCTTGGACAACTACAGGGACCATATTTAGACATGATTTTCATCTCTAGGACTTTGCATTTTATTAATCTGATCCAGCAGGTACTAGTTACTGCATGTTAGCTTTCTCAGTTCAAGAGGCTTCCAGTAACTTAGATCAGAATAACCTTTTATTGGTTGGTTGGTCTAGCAGGCAGTTAAAGTATTCATAGATTTTATTAACCTTTTATGACAAAGGAGAAGAAAAAAGACAGTGGCCAGAAAGCATCACTAAGTGAACTTCATCCCTATTTTCAGAAAACTCAGAGCTGTGGACTCTAGGTGCTCTCCAAACACCATAATTTGGACTGCCAGAAATGTAATAAAAACTGTAAATTGACACAAAAATGGAAGTGCTTGGGAGAAATAAATTCATAACTACTTCTATTTTTTGGTGAAGAAAACATCAAACATTTGCAACTCAGCCTGGAAGGCAAAAACAGATAAAAGGATAGTGCCTATAGTTTCAAAATATCTTTCTCTTTAATGAACAGTTGAAAATATCCATAAATCTCTTCCAGTATCACTGTATTTAAAAAGCAGTCAAGTCTTTTGTGCCTGGCATGTTTATAGTAAATCTATTCTCATCTGTCATGTTTGCATAAATTGTCCAAAAGTTCACCCGTCTTGGCTGTCTTTCAGTTTTCATTAGTACTGAAGTAATTTTTGGAGTAAATGAAGGGGAAAAATGCCCAGAAATTGAGATAATGCATAGAAAGAACGAGACTTTGGATAACTAACAAGAACAAACACAGCTTTATTCAGCCAAATTCACAGAAATTTGTTTCTTATTGAACTAAACAGTATGAATTGTGTATGTAATAAATGAATTGTGTGTAATAAATGTATGAATTGTGTATAATAAATACATGAATTGTATGTAATAAATAAATGTATGAATTGTATGTAATAAATACAGACAATCAGGATGAAATTCCAAATAATATATGATGAGGTAGTAATATAGTGCAAATAGGTATTTATATGGACATCTAACTAATCGCATGGCTCCTGTCAGAGGTCTGCTGTGAGACATCACCTGGATTTAGTATAGCTTTGCACCTTCATCTGATAGTGAGAACTACAGTGCAGAAACACAATGTTAGTCCCAATCTTTCACCTTCTTCCTCAGTTAAGGAGACTTATATAACAAAAATGAAGAAAATAGCATTGCAGAACTGCCATGTGGGTATAGCCTGAAATGTGGGGCTGGCTGAAGCCCCTGGGGAGTGATAGAGGGAGGGGAGGCACTGCACAGCTGAGCCCCCCTACCTTCTCATGGAAGAGAGGATTCAGGTGCCTCCAGAGCTTGTCCTGGGTTAGCTGTCCGCTCCATCTGGGATTTTCTTCAGCACCCACAGCCTGGCTGTTTCCTCTCCCAGCCCCAGCAGCTGGAGGCATCCCCAAGGCCCTCCTTGCAGTGCTCAGCTGGGCCTTGTGTGTGTTTGCAGGAGGCAGTGCGAGCACAGCCCCCTTCCCATCGGGGAGGAAGGAACAAACATGGAGCTTTCATTTTCTCAACAAACACTCCCAATTCAAAACTTTCCTCTCAGGAATAATTAGAGCCACTTTGAGTGGCATTGTAACCGCAGCATCTAAACACCTTTTAGATTACTTTTAGCACGAGGTAGTGACTTGATAAAAAGAGCTGAAGATCAAGGACAGCATTTTGCTGAGTCCCCCAAGTAATAAAGAGGTGAATAGGTAAGAAACAACTGTGCAGCTGCACTGCAACCAAAGAAACAAGGAAACCCAGAACTTTCCACTCTAGACTCCCATGGAATCAAACCTGAAGATATGCAGGAAGAAGTTTACCCCGGTCTACATTCTGCACAATGTGTTCATTAGATTTTAAAATAATAGGGCACGATATCTCTTAGCCTCAGGGCATAGTTTCCTGTGATTTCCATTAAAAGTCTTGTTGACAGCAGGGTTTGTTCAATGAAGTGCGAACACAACAATGATCTTGCAAAGAGTTTTACAGAGTAACTTACATTCACAGAAAGCGCCCCACACCTCTGTATCAAAAACAATTCGCAGAATTAAATATTTAACAAACAAGTTTGAGATATGCAGTGATTAAATTAGTGAGATAATTAGGTAGATATTTAAGGTTAATGTTTACAAGTAGGTTAATTATATCCTTTCCCAAATTTCTGTTTTCATTTCACTTGACACGTTGCAATAACAGTGAAAGTGAGGCCATACTTGCAGGCATGGCAGGCAAGGCAGCAAGTGTCACCAAGGGCGTCTAAACACACGCTTCTGAGGGAACTTTTCTCCAACATACAGTCTTAGAGCTTTATGTTCTTCATGTCCCAGCAGTTCTCCATCTTTTAGGGTAAATTCCTTTGAATAACACTTAAGATCTGTATAAAGAAACATTTTCGACAGGACTTGCAGGATTTCATAGCTTCAAGACTTCATACAGCTCTCTGATGTTAATTACAAAAGAGACAGCATTTAATGCTCTGTGCTGAATTTAGTTCACTTGCACAGCTCCAGTGTACAAGACAGCAGACACAAGGCAATATAAAGAGCTGAAATTCCCTCTGATTGGACTTTGCAGAGGTTATTTCTCATTTACTGTAATGAAATTAAGAACAAAATCTGTTGCAATGATCAGCTGGATGGTTGTAGAAAATCAAGGAGGGAATCAAGTGCTACAATAAAGTTTTAAAAAACTATTTAACAGTTATTTTTGCAGAGGCAACAGGACACAGCATCTGAATTAACTTACATAAAACTATCTTGCAAACATGTCAAGTCAATATACAGATCTTATTTAGACAGTATGTATGGTTTGTAACCATTACATCCACCCCAGCACATTTTACAAGGCTTTCCTCTTGGTAAACATACAAAGTGTAGTCCACTGAAGGCCTCCCAGCCCAGCCACCCTCCCCCAGTGACAGGCAGCCTCAGAAAAAGTTAATTTGTCATTCATAGTAATTTTTTTGGATTCTTCCATATGGGAAGACAGCTACATTTCACATCAGAGTCAGGGCTGCTGGGGAGCCCATGCTCATGAGCTGTGGTATCTGTCCTGTTCCAGTCCCTTGGAGTGAGTGCCTTCAGCTGTCACTGCACAGCAAGGGTGGCTCCTGGACAGGCTGTGCTACTTCTTGCCCTAACACAACCCCAGCGCTGCCATCCCCTGGAAGAGGGCCCATTTCTCCCCAGGAGGAGGGTGTTTTCTAGCTGTTAACTGACATCTGCTTTCTCTCATGTTGACTCACGGCCCAACCTTCCCCACACAGACCCCTTGGGAGAAGCACATGCCAGGCAGCCAGGCCCAACCTGCCCAGCCCCTCCATCCCCTTGATTGTGGAGTCATAAAGCTGTTACTAGAAAAGCAAAGCATACTCATTGCACTACAGGGGAAGAGGGAGGCCAGGACTGAGGGACAAATGAATAAAATGTTTTGTGTCAGATTTTCTCCTGCTACCATTTTGTTGAGCATAAGAATGGATATCCATGTCTTATCACTATTCGAGGAGGATGTGCTTTTCTATACCTCTGCAGCTATAAAAATCAACCTTCTGAGCAAAAGGAGTCACCTTTTAAACTAGAGTAAGCCACAGCAGCTGGTTCTTGGGTTCTGCACTGCAAGAAACTCACTGCACACTACGTTGAAATTTTAACTGCCTTCTGACTTTTTTTAGGCTGTAAAATCTTACTCAGTGTTGTTTTGTTTTGTTTCAGTTTTTATTTTTCATTTTATTCTAGTATGGTGCTGCTATTCAATACATTATTTGATCAATTTGCCATAGCATTAGAAAACACTAATGTGCTGATGCCTGCTGGACCCTGCTGATAAGAAGGCTCACAAGACAGGAGCTGGTGAAAATCAGTCTCTGTCCTTTTGAAAAATTAGTTGAAGTAATTTCACATTTTTACTTTCCCAAAGAGACACTGCAACCATTTCTCTTCCTTTCTTATTTATTGTTCAAAACACTGCAACATAAGCACATGCTTCTCTATCGCACAGACCTACTGCCACAGACACAGCCCCGCTCTGTAGCATTTCCGTGGTGAGCACGGAGGTGGGGATGCTCTGGGCTGCACTGTGTTTGAACAAGTGACTGCTGTGAGTACACATGCAAGTAGAGCAACTGATTTTTGAAAGGCAGTTAGATACCCAACCAGTAATTGTGTGCACAATTACTGTGATTACACATGTAATCATGGTCATTGTGCTTTCAAATGATGCATGTGCTATTCTAAAAATTCGCTGCTGTATTACTAAAATTAATGGGAGCTTTGCCATCAATTTAAACTGATGGAGGATCAAACAGTATGCATTGTGGCAGTAGTCTTGATATATCCAAGAGCAAATGCAATTATTGCAACCCAAATGCAACCCAATTTTCAGTGTGTTTTAAAACAGTAAAAGAGGGATGAAGACATAGTTTCTTAGCATATCCAGATACGTATTCATTATGCATTTGTTAATAAATTATCATTTTTGACTAGAGTTCTCTATTTGATTCAAACTCAACTGACATTAAGCGAAAACCAGGACTCTGGCTCAAGGCTTCTTCCTTTAATGTTTCCAATTAGCTCAGGTTATACAGCCATGCATGCATTTTTTCATGGCAATATCTTTGGTTTTTGACTGCCTTGTCCTTCAAGGGTTAACCAGGATTTTGCAGTGACAATGGTGTGCAACACAGTAAGTATAGTGATATGTAGTATTTAATGTGTAGTCTTTGTCCATGTTCTAACAATGTGCATTAAATTTCTTACTATTGTCTCTTTTTCTGATTAGTTTACAGCCCTGTAGTTCCAGCTGTTTTATTCTGAAACTCTAAAACCCTGTCACTAGGGAGTTCTGTGTAATTGCCCATAATACGCACCACATTATCCATTTCAGGAACTGTGCTGAAAGACAGCAGCAATAAGGGGTTTTCTAAAGGCAGTCTGGTTTACGCTAATGGATCTAACAGGAAGGAAATGCAATTTGAAAGAAGCTGATGCATATGTTCTATTGTTGAATATAATGTTTGATTTAATTATTAACTGTCTGTGATGGAAAGTCAGATCCTGCTCAGTTCTGCTTACAGTTTGGTACTCTCCTACCAGCAAAAACAGATAAGATTCAGTCTAAGGATTTAAGAGTTCTTTGTAAAGTACTGACATATAATTGTCCTTTTATATATATCAGCTGAAGAACCTCAGTTGCATGCTTCTTCCATACAGGCTGGCTTCCTTTTATCAAGCTAAATATACAATATAGAAGCTAACATTCTATCATTTTTCCTTGCAAAAATCAGGAGATTCTCACAGTTAACAATCTGCTATAATTATTTAAATAAATATGATCCAAACTGAGTTCATATTCACTGCTGTTCATGGTCTAGTCCTTTATTTATTTTATTTTATTTTATTTTACATTTCATGTCATACATAGCATGGCAGTCAATTTAATTCTGTATCACCAAGGAAGTACACAATGGACCCAAGTGAATTTTTAGGAAGGAGTTAAAATGTGCTGGCATGACTATACCTACCTTCTTTTATCAGGAACAGAGTATTTGGCAGCCTATTTCAGTCCAATTCTATAACTGGTGTTTTGTGATGTCTAGTAAATTGTTGCATTGTGTTACAAAGGTCCTTAATTCCATGGGTGGGTGTTAACATGGTGTAAGGAATGAATTCATTATGAAGAACTCTTACCTGAAATTCCATTATCCTTTCCTCACCATGGTGACTCCTATCAAACTCATTCATGTAACGTAATCTGGAAAGAAATAGGTACCGATGCTAAATGGCTGCATTTTCAGAGGAGTTTGAAGGTAAAAAATCATAGCTCTTCTGCATGATTCAGAGAAATACAGTAGTATAACACCACTAGTAAACAAAATAATTGAGCAACGTAATTTGTTTTGTATTTTGTATCCATCTGGTGAGATTATTATCTTTGACATAATCTTAAACAGATGCAGGACTGGAGTTGAAATTAAACAATAGTGATGATATTTGGAGTGCATCCAGAATGCATCTTTTGTTAAACATACCTGTCTACAAGTGGTGCACATAACATTAGCTCTGTGGGATGCACCTTCCTTTGCAAGCTCCAAAGAGATTGGTTACTTCTGTCAGGAGGTAACAGAGAGAAGTTAAGTTCCTAGGAAATACACCACCATGCCTCAGACACCTAATTGATTTGGGCATCTTAAGAAAAAGTCGAGACCCCTTCCATCAGGTATTTGTGTTATTGTGTCAGTCAGCAGACTTCAGTCAGAGAGTATGAAAGCGCCACCGCAGCAAAATCCATCTCAGATTTATCTGGAAACTTCTACTTGTAATCTGTTCTCTCTTGTAAGGATCTGAGAAGATTTTAAGCTTTTTAAAAATATCAAACATTTTGAATATTTTGGTTTAGAGAACTACCTGATAGCTCAGATCAAAATATATCCAGACTGCTTTAGCCTATGATTCCCATCAGAGCAGATTTCTGCTGGGTCTTTCCTGGGTCAGAACATCATAGAAACAATCTTTCTTTGGCTGTTTCAGGACTCTTGAAAAGGATTCCTTCTAGAAATCCTTGCCAGAAACCAACAAATTCCAAAATGTGCAGTTTCTTTCGAAAAGTTAACAACAAACCTGCAAAACAGGTATAAGCTGAAGTCACTTCTCATTTTGCCTAAAGTTTTCCCTTAGTTTCACTGTTACTCCTACTCCTAATTAAAACTTTATTGAAGCACTTTGCATACTCTAGTGTATTGAAGAAGCAATTGTTGGAGTGAGAAGGAAAACTGTCAGTTCCGAAAATAGCTTGGACTGCTCATGTGTCATTCTCAGTATATGCTGAAATATCCAGAAAAACGTGGCTCATGCTGAGGATTGCATCAGATACCAACACATGTATAAGCAACCCTCTCTCCACCTTCTCCTCCTGAGGCTCATTTTTACAAAACACACGGTTAGAACTGAGCTGTGCCTCCTGCCATTGGAGTAAACTACAATGGAGCAGAGTACAAAGGAAGTTTATTCCCCATGTATATGTAGGATCTGTCTGTAGAGCTCAGTGTGAGAATTAAGAGCAGACACGTGTAACCAGCACACTGCAGGGAATGGGGGGAAGCAGCCTGGTTCATTTTCTTGGATCCCACGACCAGACCTCAGGTAAAGCTACATACGTGCCAAGTGTCAGATCATTTGCAGATCACAAATGCTAGGTTCTTGCCCAGGTCCTGCGAGCTCATCCTCCTATCTCAGCCATGCCAGAGCACATCTGGCCTGAGCATTCCCAGGGCTCCCCCAAAGCACCTGTACAGTAAGGGTGGTGGGACCAGTCCACCCACCCATTCCCTTCTTCCCTTCTCAACATACAGCTCCCTGCACTGTTTATGCTTTGTCTTCATCCTGAAGTACTATTCTGTGTTTGATGGCTTAGGCATGTCCAAGAAGGTGACTGAAAAGCATATCAGTGGCTACACACAAGGGCAATTGAAAAAGGTTGCTGTGAAAATCATATTCACAGGGAGACAGAACTGAACTCACGCAGGTGTTTCTCCATGTCTGCTGTGACTTCTCTAGGCAGCAAAACAGGTGAGTTTGCTGCATGCTAATCAGGAAAAAAAAAATCTGAAATATGCATCTGCACATGAGCATCTGTGCAGAGTTTCTCCAAACCAGTTCTCAAGTGCATTTTTTTTCCCTGTATGGGCCTCTTTTGTACTTTGTTGTGCCAAGAGGCTTATTTTTTATAGGTGGAGAGACCCTATCCACCAGCCATCAGGGAGTGCTATTAATATGCAACATCTTGAATGCATGAGCTGAATGACAAGCTGGCAGTGTTTGAGAATGTGTGGTCCAAGTTTATGTCTCTCCCTGAAGAGGCGAAAAGCCCCTTCCTGAACTCTCTGCCAAACTGTGCAAGAAATGAGAGAAAGGAGAATGGGCAACCTATTTTTCTGCTTCTCTCTTCCTAATATCTTCACCGTGGCGTTTCCTTCACCTGGCCACAGTTAATGTGAATGGCTGATTTCACACAATTTGCTACTGAGCTTCAATGTCAGAACACAATAGCAGAGTTGTTCTTTTATTGAAAAAAATGCTTGTGGAAGAAATTGGAAGTATTTACTAGAATTTTATACATACATCGTGTTTTGGATTCATGTATCATTCTCCATCCTGTGTCTGAAATGTCCTGACAATAGTGAATTAAATTGAGGTCCTGAATTCTAGACATATTTGCACTTTGCTTTTGGTCCTGCAGCGTCACCATGCAAGGCTCAACTCAGTGAGTTTTTGAACCTGGAAAAACTTGCTGAGTGTTTTATGTGCCTGAATAGGAAGAAAGGATACTGGCATGTCTCATTATGGACTAGTTACAGTTTGATCTAGGAAGAGTAAATGGGTGTTTCTTACTCTCCTCACCAAGAAGATGGGGAAGGAGGGAAGAGGAAGAATCAGATAGTCACCATCCCTGGCCTCTAAACCAACCTATGGCTGTTCCCAGACATTCAGTGGGGCTCAAGAACTGGACTCTGCTTGTGCAAATTAGCTGCACCTACCTGGGTGTTCACCTAGGTCTTCCTGCACAAGAAACACTCTGGACACTTTTATGACACAATCTAACCATGCTGTGGATTGTTTGTAGTGCTGGTAGGTGCCTTAAAGACATACTTCTAGCTTTCACCAGCTGTTCAGCTTTGGGTGTTCAGAGGAATTAGAGAAACAATGAGCCACAAATTGAAAATTTGCTTCAGTCTCGTGATAGAAGAGCCAGAAGCACAGAGATGGGCCAGCATGTGTCCACATAATCTAGGAGCAATGTGTGAGCAGAACTGAAAGAAGTCCACCTCAGAAACTTTTCCTTAATGCAGCCATTCCCGATGAGTCCACGTGGTCAAGCAAGGAACTGGTTTTCCAACTCTCCATGGCAGTGTGTAGTTAGGATCTGTTTTTGCTGTACTAGATGCCAGCTGGCTGGGGCCTCACAAGCCATGAGTTTTAGACCAGCATCTGCACCGCAGTACCCGTGCTAGAGCCTGGCCTGATTAGTGAACGGCTCCGCCCCAGCCTCCACACAGAGCAGTAACGGGGATGGCAAACTGGGCTTTTCAGACACCAGCTGTTTCCCTGGCATCGCTGCCTCCCTCTCTGCATGCCTTTGTCATTCCCTGAATCTCTGCCCGCTGCAAAACTCTTGGAATCAGTTAAAATGACTTTCGGGATGTTTTTCTCTTGCCTTAAAGGACTCATGCGCTTTGTTTTTCCCTCAGTCACAGTAGAACATAGAAAATGGTCTACATGGAAAATGTGAAAGATGGTTTCTATGTAAATTGAAGGTAATGTCAGCCAAATTAATTTCTTAATTTAATGTCTAAAAATAATTTTGTATTCTGCATTTACAAATTTATATTCTTTCTTATGGGAATCTATTTTCTCTATATTCAAGTCATTTTTTAACTGCTCCAACCATTTTTCACCATTTCATAAAGCAGGTTCATTTACAAATTATGCTTATCAATCACAAGGGAAATTACATCTTTTCTTTCTTATTATGAGATTGAAATCCTATCCCTTTTCTGGGAAAATTATGTAGTATCTTACCAAAAATTCTTTTTGATTCAGGAAACAGGGGAAGGTAGGGAAGGTCAGACAAATGCTGCTAAAGGAGTAAAATTATTAGCTACAATGCATCAGCTTGAGGAAAAAAACAGTTACACTCTGTGGAGCGATGTGGAACAAGTACAAATACATACTTTTATAATGTTATGACCTTCCTTAAAATTCTGTCAAGTAAATGCATTAAAATTTAGGTGAGTTATTAAGAATCTCATAAAACAGACAAAGTATTAATATGATCGTCCATGCTAATGCCGGAGGGGCTAGCAACAAACTGTCACTGATACTTTAAATTTGGGAAATATGGATTATTACCATCTTGCCTACAGAAACAGTGAAGAGATTTTCCAGGATAAGAGACACATGGGTAATTTAAACTTTCAGACATCTCTCTGTTGTTGAGTTCAGGTAACCTCCCTAAGATCACAGATAGGTGCTAGGCATGGGTCTTCCACAGAAGAGAAAATCAAAGCTTTGAATCATCCATTTGAGGACTTTTCACAGAGAATGAAGCGAAGTAGTTTTTAATAAAATTCCCAGGTATTGAATAAACACTACAACAGCACGGATACCGGCAGCATGCCCCAGTACCTGGGGGGTACCTGGGCTGTCACCCCAGCTCTGGCCCAGCTCTGCACAGCGCTGTGTGTGTGATGGGGACAATTCCAACTGCAGCAGAGCAGGCATGGGAGTGTCCCTATGAGCACACGGACAAGCCACCTCCTGTGGTAGGCAGCACCTACCTCTCTGTGCTAGAGAGGCCATGTCTGCAACATTAAGCATCCTTTCTCTGGGCGCACTGTGGTGTTCGCTAGTTACAACACCTCTGCACATTGCCAGCATCCTTACAAACATTCCATTCTTCCTATGAGCCACAGTGGCTTTACACCACCAGGCAGCATTGGAGAGAAAACATCTAGGAGTTAAAACCCACCACCTCAGTCTCCTGCTCGACTTTACTGGAGGTCAGAAGCCCCCAGATACCACAGACCTCCAAAGGCTAGGGGCTATTTTAATGACACCAGACAGACTACACTTACCTTGCTGAGAGTGTCCTCTGATGCCACTACAGTGGTGAAATAACTTTCCCTACACTGTCATCAAGACAGATGCGGATTTCTTCAAAATAATAGAGGTCTGGAAATAAAAGGATATTGATTTAGGCTGTCTTGTCAATCACAAGAAAGAAAAACATCCTATAACATAAAGGGAGTTTGTAACAAAATGTGCCTTTGTTTCTAAAGACCAGCAGATATACGTGGTTTTAATGTTGGTTGGATAGACTATGAGCTCCCAAAAATTTACTCTGAGACAAAGTATTTTGCTGGAAACACTCAAGAGCAAGAGAACAAGTTTTCCACTGGACCAAAATAAAATGATTCAAACAACTTCATTAGCACCTTGGAAGGAAGCAGCAGGAAAATCTGAGCAGTGTGCTATGCAGCTGGACTGAGCTTGGCAAGCATCTGGTACCTCTCACCTTGTGCAAGTTCCTCAGCCACTGCTGGCCCTCATGTATTACCCAGATTCTTGATACCTGGTTCTTTTGAGATGCTCCTGAAACAACGGGTCAGCAGCCTCCACAGCCTGGATCGTGCTGTGTTGCCCCTCATTCGCAGCAGGAGGAATGCTGCCAGCCCCAGGCATTCTGCATCGTGCTACCTCCGCCAGTAACCCCTGGCTCCGACAGCCAGCGCGGGCACTTGCTGCCAGCCCTGCAGCACAGCAAGGCAGCCCAGGGCCCCACGGCAAGGGCTGCATGGGCAAACCCATGGCCTGAGAGACTACAGAGCCTTTATGTTAAACAGAGCTTCAAAGCTGCAAAAATATTAACAGACACCAAAAAACAGAAGCATAAAGGTCCTTCAATAGCCCTATGCTGCTCTTGCCATGAGCTCAAGCGCTTAGTGTGGAAGTGACCTTTACAAAATTATTGTTTATGATCTCTCTGTGTGTGCCAGTACAGCCACAAAGAGTATTCCAATTTATTTAAAAGGTTACATATCAAAACTGAATATGCAGTACAACTGTGTTATCACATTGTATAGCTTTTACACAGGAAATCCAATCTTGGCATGTATGCCTTCTAGCCACTGGGGCTGGATTCCCTCACTATCCAAACTAGAGATGAAGAAGCAATAGGTAACAAAATAATTTATTCACCCTTCTTTTCTTATTTTTAAATCATCTACAAATCACTTAGAAAACTCCCCATATAATCCCTGGCTTTAAATTACTCACAAATTTCTTCTAATAAACAGTATTTTAGCTTGCACAATATTTGAACATGGGATTCAAGGTACTCAGCACCTTTGCAAACAAAGACTGTTCTGGCTAAATAATTTAGTTGACTCAGTTTCAGAAACCTGATTCAATTTCTTTTGAGTTGTACGACCCTCTTATGGTACCGTATGCATCATAAACAATTTCCCCTCACCTGCTGCTTGTTAGAGACTGGCTGTGCCTGCCGAGGGAGACTGACCCAGCACTGCCTGTTACTTACCCTCAAGCTGACTCCAGTAAATAGGTGGGAAACCACTTCTCTGCTCCGAGGGAATACCTGTGTGCCAGCGTGTACACTCCTCTGCTCCACCAGTAAGAAAGTGCCCTGAATCAGCCATAGGGAATGTGCCTTTCACTTGTCAAAATAAAAGATGAAAACAGGATACATTTAATACAGCAAAATAAGTGGTTAGACTCTTGCACACCACATTGGATAAACTCACAAAATAAAAACTAAAATTAAAAAGCACATTTCTAGACTGCAGTTATGGATAAGGACCTCACCTAGCCCCTGCAAGATCAGCAGCACAGTGGGCTGCCAAATACAGTCCAAACCTCGCTCAGGCTGTTCACTCTGAGCAGTCTCTTTCCCCCATTCAAGGTGGATGAGCTCACCTTCTCTGGGCCAGCCCGTGGGGTCCTGTGGGCACCTCTCTCAGCTTCCCTGTGCATTGGAGCTCAGGCCAGAACTGATCCCACTGAGTTCACGGAGGGGTCAAGAATCCTTCCTTCTTGTCCCTGTTTCTAGGAATACAAATGTACATGTGCCAAGGTGGCCACATCTTGTCCTCTCAACTCACCTGCTGGTGGCTGTTCTTCTGATATGGAAGACTGCCAAACTGTCATTTCTGTCATATTCCTTAGTAAGAATACTCTTTCTGGCTTCAGTTCTTCCTGCAAGTCACAACAGGCTTAAGGTCATGCTTAAACTGGATACACCATGAGAACAGTTTTATACAAACATCTGATTAGATCTAGGACTTCTTACATGAAGTCAGCTTCTATTTGAAACTACATATCTCATTTTGGAGCTCCACTGACAGTCATTGCATGTAGACCACTTTTCTAATTTATCCCAAACTATCAGCCATTGCATTCTATCAGGATTTTTGTCTTCAATGGTTAAAAAAAAAACCCAATCACTTTCTTAAAATTATTCTGCTTGGATATAGTCAGTGATCATCTGACAGCACAAGTGAGGAGAAACTGGCCTCTAAGATTCGCTTCATGCTGAATTACAATGTTCAATATATTAAAAAAAAAATTCCTCAAGTGGAAATTTGAAATCTGCACAGTTTCTTATTTTCTTGTATCTTCTTTGTTTCTTCTTCTTGATGAATCCTGCAATTCACAAAGTAAAGGTTCTCCAAAGTGTTCCCTCCAGCCAAAGCCTTCCTGAGGGCCTTCAGATATACAGTCCCACTGAACAGATCATGAATATCAGGTAGCATGATGTGAAATCCAAATCTCACAATTAAATATATCCCTGAAAAATTATTTCCTGCAAGTATCTGAAATATCTAATTGAAACTTTGCTTTTGCAAATATTCATGAAAGTTAATTTCAAGTGCTTGTATGCTTATAGGGAGCAAATTCCCAAAGAGTCATAGGTATGATCAATTTGGAGTTCATTTCTGAATTTAAATGAATATTCATAGCCATTTTTAACTATTCCTTTAACTTCAATACAGACTCATCAGCACTCATTTGCACCAAGTTTTTATTACTGTGAATCAGAATTAAAAACATTGAAATCAAAAGTTATGCCTGAAAAATACTTAAAAATCACAATTACACCAGCCTTTCTTATCTTCAGAATAGAATAAATCTACCTTCCTTTTTCTAGCTTCCTTTTCTATTAAAATTTGAGAATGATAAGTGAAATTTTGAAGTTATTGTTCTGCTGTCAGCTAAAGCCATTTATATGCTTTGATAATAAACATTCCTTTACATAATGGTGTCTCTTCCTCCCAGTTCCTTAAAAATTACTCATCTGCAATACTTTTTCCCCATTTCCTTGGATTCAGTTTAAATGAAGTTTATAAAACTCTTATAAAATTGTCTATTTCAGGCTGATTTCAAATGTTACCAAGTTGAATATTAAAAATTCTTCCACTTATGAAAAAATTGACCATATCAAGTAGAATAAGGGAGATATTTTAGACAAGTTTAAGCAATTGGAAATCAATGAGTTATTGAACCATTTTCCTAAAGAGTAGCAATAGTCACACTTAGTCAGGTTACTTACACACTTCAGGTTCTCATGTGACTGAAGAACTTGTGGGATATGATATTAAAGTAAAATTGTATTGTTTGAAAATCTGTAGTCACGGAACTTTCTTTTTTTCCACATCTTGTGATTTATTCTTTCTCAGGTTAAGGCTGTGCTCCGCAGTTCCTCATTTTATTTGTCTCCAAATTTATCTGGAAACACTGGGATGACCCTTGAAGCTGTTTAGAAAGATGGGACTGTATTAAAGGTCATATTTTCAAATATATTCTAGGTGATTTAGAAGTATAAAGGTCTGTCAATCTATAGGATTCAAAATGTCTTAGTCATTTCTAAAAAGGGCATCAATCTGGTACTGTTTGGCTCTTTTGACTGTCTTTCTAACACTACATTGTCAGAGCAATGCACAACAGCAAACTGAGTTGCATCACAAAAGCTAAAAATTATATTAGAGCTAATCAAGTTTGTGCTCTATGATGTCAACCATAAGCCTTTTCAAAAAGCCAACAATGAGCCTGATGACCATCATTCTTGAAGAGTAACCAATCTGTTCTTCATCCTTCTCCCTAGAAAACTGGACAGATGTAGAATAGTGTCTCTTAAGAATATTTCCTTCCATGCCATAGCACTTTCTGGATGTTACAAATGACATATATGCAGTTATTAGTTGCATTTATATGGAGTTAATTGATTTACTACAAAAGAATATCCTGGGAAGTATTCGCAACAAACAAGAAATATAAAGAAAAAACAAACAAAGTTTTCTTAGATTATCCTAACATCTAAAATCAATATTTTTCTCCCTACTTATTTTCTTCAGTACCCAGCTTCTGGGCATGTTTTATATAAGGTAAAGTGAAAGTCTTGGCTTTGAAGTCACAGAAAACTCACTGGCCAAGTGCATCAGTAATTTGCGGAAAAACACATGAAGGCATATACAGAGAACTGGTACAGATCAGAGGAACTGCACAAGCTGCTGTATCAGTTCAGCTTCATTTACTAAGAGGAATTCACAGGATACTCTGTATTGGAGTCTTAAATATATTACTTACAGAATAACAGGTCAAACTTTATTAGAAATTTCTGTTGCTGCCTTTTGCAGATGGAAAGGTCTTACTGCAGGTGGATCATTTATCTCCCCTGAGATAAGACATTCTCATTCCATCCAGCCTGATCACTCTTCACCTTTATTTCTTAGGTGATATTCACCCTCATTGCAATAATCACTAATTATCTACAATTCTGAAAATACAATCAAAACATGATATTTCCTTAAATCCTTGTCTATTATTAGAATACTGAGATAGTCATAAACCTCCTATGCTAATTGATTAGCTGAGATACGTCGTAGTGGAGGAAACTGGTTTAATGTAGGGTTTAATTCCAACTGCAGAATTCTGCAGCATTCTTTCCCATTCAGCAAAAATAATTTTTGTCCTTGTCCTCTTTGCTTTCTCATTCACCCCACAGTCATTTACTCAACGATGCAGTTGTGAAGATTGCAGTAGCTGTTAGTCTACACGAAGAAACTGCTACATTCGCACCAAATAGATGATATGCAAATATACCATTGTGATTCATCTGTTTCTTTAGGCTAATTTATATTTTAATGAATTTTATCATTGGGAATTGAAGTACTTTAACTTCAGAAACAGAGCTTGTGTAAAACCTTTTACTGAAAGACATAATTTTCAAGCAGGTTTTCAGCCAGCTCAAATCATTGTTGAGATCCTTTATTTAGGAACCAACACTTCAGTAAATAAGACAGAGATAGAACTTTTGTATAATAACCCATCATTTTGTATACAGAGTATGGGGACAGAAAAGAAGCCGTGCCCGCTGTGACAGATAGCCAAGCTATTTCTGAGGTGTAATGCAGCTATGAACCACAATTTGAAAACTATTCTAAAATGACTTTGCCTTTGTTTTGTTGCAGAAGTAGTTTTTTTCAGAAGATAATTTAAAGGAATTTAAAAGATGCCATCCCATTGAATAGACAAGTTCTAGTTCATAATTGGGAAATACAGCTAGGGTTGGCTCACATGTTGGACAGAGGTAGGAACGGCCTGATGGGAACACTCACAGGGTGGAAGTGGTCGATGTTCCAGCCTGGCATCACCTGAGATGATCTAAGAAAGACCACCCCACAGACCTGAAAGAACTGTAAAATGAACACAGACTTTACATTAGCACGTGACACAGCATTTTAGTGGAAAAATCCAAACTCACTTGGCGAAGCAAATTCAGGCAGTAACGAAATTGCTTTGGGAAGGGGTGTAAACCTTGCCCATGCTGGGTGTGACACTGACTAGCCAGTGCCTTCTGAATTCATTCAGAAGCTTAAAGGCATTCATTTTCCCTACAGAAAAGCACTGAATTTGAATTTTATCACGGCTGAATATAGTCCAACATCTGAAAAATCTAGATTTTCTGTTGGCAACACTTAGTTACAGGAAATAGGAGCTTTTAAAGAACCTCCCTGCACAACTAACATTTTGGAGCTCTGGTTCATTAGCTGGGGATTAATGAGCTCACTGATGCTGGAAAGCCTGCGCTGTCATGGTCAAGCTAGAGTCATGCATGGTGGCAATTGTCGGCTTTTTAAATAGATTACTTCAGTTTGGATGGAAAGAACATGCAGATTCAAGATCACAATCAGGAGGATAGGGAAAGACAGAATGAGATTAAGAGAAATATCACTAAAAAACCTCACACGCTGAAAACAATGGCAGTAAACTCACAATGACAGAACAATCATTTATGTCATACCAGTTTCAGAGAACATCGATTTAAAAGGTGTAATCAGATCCATTTATTGCCAGGACTAAAAAAATACGGAAACTGTGAAAGTGAATACAAATACATCCTTTGCTGTCTTTTAAACCAGTGGCATAGCTTTACCCAATTAGAATGAAATCCATCTTATAAGAAATATCTAATTAGATATGGTAAACTTATTTTATTTTAAAAGAAAGACATTGATGACTCCTAATTATACACATACATGTTCTCTAAGTAAATTAGTTATTGTCTAAGCCATTATGCCCAGCATGTCCTTATACAACAGTGGCATCTAGTGGCCAGTGGTCAGGCTCTGCTCCAGCTGGAAGAGGGAGATGGTCAAACAGGGGAGTAATAACAAACACGACCGGGTTTTTTGTTATTTTAATAGATCGCATTATTTCACATAACAAAATACTTCATGGTTTATTATGTTCGTGTTAATTATAGGCCTTTCAGCATGCTGGCAGAAGGCATGAACGGACCGATACTTGGACACTGGGAGAGGAAAGGGAAAGCCTATCTGCTGTCAGTTCAGTGGAAACCAGGGCTGTGCCAGGTTCTTTCTGCCATGTTAGCAACATTGACATGTTTAGTCTCTTTCTGTACCTCCAGATTTGTTCCCTGGAGTCCTTTTGGTCCAGGTTTATCATTCAAGCTGGGGGAAGCTTTTCTGTCGACTGCACATTCAACATGGAGCTGATCCTAGTGGATCCATGAAGGGAGCTGATCCCGGTGGATCCATGCTGTCCTACAGCCCTGGCTGCCCCACAGCTGCACCCTGCTGGCAGCACAGGGGGAACAGACACCCCCCCCCCAGCCACCCTGTGCACAACTGAGGCAATTCAGATCAATTTGTGCGCTCAAGTCCACAGCTCCCCGCATCGAGCTGTTCTGCTCCATGCCCTACACCTCTATTGGAGTCAAGAAAGTCTTTTGCAAGTCACTTTGCTTCCTATTAGCCAGCCAACTGCACACAGGTGAGAATACAGCAGCATGTGCTGCCTCTGACTGCAGTACTAGAGACAAAACACCCAGTGGAATAAATAATTACATTTTACAGACCTGCATCCTGGAAATACTGGTAATTAATGAGAAACAGAAAAAAATTATGTGATGACAACATGCCCTAAAAGCAATGCATCACCACAGCCCTGAATGACCTGTCATCATCAGCTGAGCCATGCATCTACCAGTAAATCTTATTTTATGAAAAATAAGAACTTTATGTTCTAGAACTACTTGGAAGTTCTGGATAACAACATTGTGAGTGTACAGCCTTGCAAGGGACACCTACCACAGCATTCAGTGAAAGCCATGTTTTAAAAATTAGATGCCTCTGAGATCCAATACTGATCATAACAGTCAGACATGCAAACCCAGATAGTTTTTCTCATCTCCTCACAGTAACAGTCTACTCCTATTCCCAGAAAAGCCTGATATCAGCAATCCTGACAAATCAGACATCATCAGATTGTCAGATTGGCAAACTGTGATGTTTGAGATAACCAAATAAAATTCAGATTCCACCTCAATTCACAGGAATGCAGAACTATTTCCGAGAGTCTTCAAATATATTCCTGGAAGAATTGTGGCCCTATTTCTTGACACATAAATGTCATAATTTGCACTCATTAAAAGACTGGATTAATTTGGAAGGTCTTCTTTAGTATGTTCTTGAAAAAAAACCGATACATTGTACACAGATTTTCAGCATCCACTAATTACAACTAGTATTGTCTCATACTTAATTTTCCCTGATCAATGACATTATGGAAATAAAGAAAAACAGACAGAAAATCTTGTAGAAATCAGCTGTTTTGTTAAGTTTTTTTGAAGGTAAAAGATAAATAAAGGGCCATATTTTATGCACCAAACCTGATCTCTAACCAGTCTGGGATTTCCCCTGTTCCCTGCTGCTGGGTCCCACTTACCCAGCTTTTTCTTTCAATCCAGCCATCCTGAGAAGGGCTGCACTAAGTCAGCATTCTTTGACTGAATTGTTCCAGTGATCAATAGAGAAAGGACAATGATTTATTTATAAAGCAGCAATGCAGCACTGCAAGAATTAGTTCTCTTCTGGAAATGTTTCCCATTTTGCACATTTTGTACATAAAAGAAGGCACAAAAAACTTCAGCATGAATTACAGTGCAAACCACATTTTAACAGTACCCCTTCATTTGTTTCTCTTTTGGAAGTATTGTGTGGTTTTGTTGTTTGGTGGGTTTTTTTGGGGGGGTGGAGGGTGTTATTATTTATTTATTTAAAGCTTGTTGGATATTGATTCAGCAAGGAACAAGTAATAACCATATCAATTTTCTCACAGTAAGATGTACTGGTAGAAAAACAATTTTATAACTAAACAGGAATGACTGATCTATTGGCTATTATGAGCTATGCTATTATAGATAGATTATATAGCTGATATATATAAATAAC